GGATGCAAATCGGCGGTCGATGGCCAAATGTCAATTTGCGTAAATTTTATGTTTATTTGTCCATTGATTAATGGCCGAGGACACACACGAGGTCCTTGGTCGCAAGTCTTCAATCATAAGGAGTCGCCCCTTTTTGTATGTTGCTGTTGCTATTTTTTTTTTTTTTTTGGTTTTCGCCCTTTGCTTTATTTATGCATACAATTTATAGGCTGAAAGCGGCATATTTGTGTCATTAGCCGCAAATTTTTGACCCATTTGTCATTAGAGCTGACTGCAGACAAGCAGGACCAAGGATTTGCATAAAACAAACGGACACGACTGTCTCTATGTGTGCGTGCGTTATGTGTTTGTGTGTGTGTGTGTGTGTGTGTGTGCGTGTGTGTGTGCGTGCTAGGCATTGTGTCCTGCCAAAATGTGTGACCGACAAGATTTATCAAGTAATAACAGACATTTCGGACAACCCATAGACCCATTAGTAACACGCTGTTTGACATTGTCTGAAAATATCATTTTAATCACAGACCGCACACAAGGAGCACATGGAACCGAAGGAACAAGGACCTCAGGATGTGCCGCCGGAGATGAATCCTTCACGGAAATGGTCAGCTTTAAGGCGGCTGAGTTTTGTATATTGTATGTTCTTCGAGTTTGAAGAAACTTTTTAATGATACAAATATCAACAGAAGAACTTACTTAGAAATGAACAAGAATGGGAATAAATTAAGTGGCGTCAAAAAGTATTTGTTTTTTTATACTCCCTACACCAAAAGAACAATCTAAATATTAAAATATATAACTCTAATCAAATCAAATAGTACTACATTTAAATATATTAATTATATTAGTTCAAATCTTATGGTAAAATAGCTCATGAAATTCCTAAAGTCCACCCATCTCCTTTAGTCTGCATTTCAACTATATCCTTTCCCTATATTTTTGTTGCATAGCTCTTGAAGTGTACAACTTCCTTCTCAGATTCATAGCTTGTCCGTTATTGAGAGCGTCCGTTTGTGCATTAGTGTTTAACAAATTGAATCCGAGAACTATTCAAATTAATCCGGTAACTTTTCCCCGGCTCATCTGTCCGCCTTTTCCGGCTGTCCAACTGTCCAACTGTCCAACTATCCGACTGTTCGACTATTCGACTGTCCGTCAGTTGGGGCACTTGCCACTGCCACTTGCGACTTGCCACTTGCCACTTGCCACTTGCCACAGCAGGTGGCATCAGTCCGTGTGCTGACTGATTTATGTGCGGCAATGTCCTGGGCCAAGAAACTTTCCAGCTCCCACTTTCCACGGCGGGTTAAGCCACGGCCAGGGAAAATTAAAAAATTACTGAAAAAAAGAAAAGTGGCAGCCACGAGGAAATCTTGGGGCAACTTTTTGATTTGTCTGCTACAGTCAGCCGCCACCGCGTTGCAATTGTGAACCTGTTCAAGTTTTAATTACACGAAACGTGAGCCAGATTACAAACTGCCAGCACTTTTGATTTGTGAGCTCCTTTCTCCGCTTTCTTCCCGCACAAATCAGGAGCAACTTCACTAAACTCGCCAATAAACGAATCACTCGTCCTTCGCCAACAATTATAACTCGTAATTTATAATTGACGAGAAACAGTTTTCTCTACTGATTTCGAGTAAGTGCTGTAAATAGAAAGTAATAGTTGGACTCAGCAAGGAAAATATGGAATAAAATGATTGATTAAATTCCCAGTTTATTATAAACGCAATTTATATAAATGATTATCATTTAATTCTGTCGTTGTTTTCTTTTAATTTTTCTTTTTATTTGTTCTTATTTTTACTTGTTGATCTTACCTGTATTTTTTCCATCCATCTCCGTTTTAGATTGCTGCCTAGTGATACGAAATCACAGCCTTGTAAAGGATTTAATCTGCAGCATATTTATTCAGTGGACGGAATGCAAATTCATCGTACGCCTTATTTGCCTGTCAAGTTTTGTCAAAGTTATGGCATTTGGCAAGCAATTCGCATTTAAATCTTTTGTTTAGCCGAAATGATTTGGGCGGAGAGAGTGGGTTGTGGAGTCAGAAACAGAAGCCAGATTCAGGATATCAGGTGGTTCACACACATTCACGTACCTGATTGTCATTTGATTAGATTACAAGGCATTTCTGTGTGTGTGTTTTTGGGGTGACGAAGGGGATATTGCAGGCTGATATTTGGGTATATCCAATGTATCCTGGACCCGAAGCACATGGTGTTTTAGTTGCAGCCTCCAAATTAAATGGACTGCGCATCACGCAATTTAAGACCTTCAACTCAAGAGCATTTCACCATCACATCTGTTTAATAACAAGGTCTTTGGATTTAACACTCGCCAAATAACTGGAAACCCAAAATATGAATCCAAGAGATACAAATCAATATTTTTCGAATTCTACATTTCTTAAAAAAAATTCTAAATCATACACAATACATTAATGAAATCCCTGAAATATTTTGTAGATTATATTATATCCCCACTTGTTTTTCATAAGTGTACGGGGAGCATGAGAAACAGAGGCAGTTTAGTTTGGGGGACGTTCTCATATTGTGGAGACAAATTAATTGCGAACTCATGTAGTTGTTTGACGATGTCATCCCAATTCATCCGAGTCCCACAATTCGTGTACGTGTGTGTTTAACGAGAAGGGAAAGGACATGGAACGGATGTACCATACAATATACAATATACAATATACATATGGTAGTACGAGTATAGAGCCATAGGAATGCCCACAAGACGCAATAATCGTTGTGTAGCTTCAAGTGTAACTCAATTAGTCGACAAGCGTTTCAATATGGCTTTTAGCCCAAGCAAAACTTTGCTTAAATATAACTTAAAGAATTTCCCAAGTCATTTATATACTCTTGTGAAGTGAGACATGCAAAATTTCATACCCACACGATAAGAAACAATGATAAGTCCACATCCGTTTGTTTGTTCATTTAACTGAGTTTCACAAAATGTTGGATTTTTTTCGTCTCAATTTTAAAGAACCCTCTTGATCACATTAGCATTGATTAAAATCCCGCTGATAGCTGATGGCTGATGGGTGATGGGTGGTAGAATTCCCCATCATCACTTTTGACATCCGCAAAAGTGCGTATGGGATTTTGATTCCATTTGAGCAAGTTCGGTCTCTAAGCGCCAGGCAACCAACCACAACAATAATATCAAGTGCAGAGAGGAGGCGGAAACTTTTTTAATTAAAAGGAAAAATAAGGAACGAAATGAAACTTTTGCCACTGACAAAATGTTTCTCCCGGCCATCAACAAGTTAAGCACAACAGAAATTGTTTCCTTACCGTATTTTTCCACCTGTTTTCTTCGATTCGCTTAAACCTCATAACCACCCAAACGAAAAAAAAAATGAAAACAAGAAAAAAAGGAAAAAAAAAAAGGGGGGGGAAAACCCACCCACTTGGCTTCTTCTTCCTTTTGTTGTTGCTCTACTTATTGCGCTTCATTTGCAGCAATGAAATTTAAGCGTTTAGAGAAAAGTTTCGCATGCTTTGTTATTCAGTGTAGTGGACTTTATGCGATTTATGCCGTTTCGCAAATTAGCCACTCGATTCTTCGCTAACTTCCACTTGGCCAGCTATTTTTTATATAATTAACAATACATTTTAAAAGAAAAGGAAATTGGTAAGTAAGAACTTTATTTAATTCAGTAATAAAGAAATTAATTGGTGCATAAAACTTTACTTCAAGTTCACAAACAATTAAAAGATTATCTCTTACTTAATGAGTTTTATTATTTATCAGCCAAGAACCTAATAATAATTCAATGTATTATATATAGATCTAATTTATTTATGAAAATAGTTCCCATGGCAACTTAACTTTCAATGAACAAATCTCGTACAGATTGCTTATTTTTATATCCGGTTTTTGTATTTAAAGTACAACTGCCAGAGTATATGGACTTCGTCGCCCGGAAGCTAACATCAATTCTCATTTTTATTGACTTTTCCGATGGGAGTGGGCTGCGGATGGGAAATGCTGTGTGGAAATACTGGGGAAATGGGAAAAGTGAAGGGGGTTGCTTCTTGGCAGCTGTTCCCACTGTATTACATTCGAGCGCCGTAATTATTATTATTATTATTGTGTAATATTATCATGATTATTTTTATGGTTTCTGCATTTTAAAACAAATGAGTCTCGAATGAGACCTCGCATGTTTGCCTGCGGGTGCGCCAAAAATTACCCAAGAAATGGTATTTTACCAACTTCTGGAGAAAGTGTGCCGAGGAAATCAAGACACTGCGGGATGAAAGGAGAAAGGGAGAAAAGGAGAAGAGAAGACCATCCCAACGAACATAAAAATCAAATTTCCGCATAAATTGTTAACTCAACATTTGGCATTTTTTGTGGGTGTGTGTGTGTGGGTGTGCGGGTGTGCGTGTGTGCGAAAACGCAGGAAAGTGAGGAAATTTACAAAACAATTCAAATACTTTATGCAGCGCATGTGAAACAAGTTTATTACAAAAATCTCCTAAAAATGTATAAATATTTAATTTTGATTATATTTATGGCTAAACAGTAAAATACATTAACAAGTAAATAAAAGTACGATACGATATATTTCTGAATGTATTTACTTGTAGGCTTAACACTCTAATATCAAGGTTAAAATGTATGTAAACGTTCAGTTTTTCTTAATAAGTTTTTTATTTGATAGCTATAAGTTATTTAGTAACTTTTTTCCAAATTAAATAATTAATTGTATTCATGGGGCACCTTAGGGTTAAAGTATATGTAACCAGTGAAATCAGTGGTTCTGATTCTGAAACTCGAACCAAAAACTGCGGCGCAATCGCAAATGTTCAACGGCGCCTTATTTTGTTTCCAGTTTCCAGTTTCAGCTTCATTTTCAGCTTCAGCGATTAGAATAAACGAGAACCGAGCGGAATTGCCCTTGAAGTCCGGAATTAAAGCTGATAAGCCGCCATATCGTTGGGGGGGAATTCAATTCGAATCAAAATCGGACTTGGCAAGTGCGCACTCAGTTGTTTATTCACCAGCAAGAAGTGCGCAATGAAACCGGCTGCTCTCCTCCTCACTTTGATCCTGGCCACCGTCCTAATCCTGGATGGAGGTCAAGCGAACCCAGTCGGTCCGGATATCCCCGCCGATGACGCCAACGACCTGGTCAGCGACTTCGATGAGAACTCCTCCGAGAAGGCGGTGCGAATCGTTTCGATCAAGGTGCGGCACATCCAGACGGACCCCGCCCTCTGCGCCCAGCGCTCCAAGCACCACCCGCACCACCCACAGTGCCACAGCTACTGCAAGCGGCAAGGCCACTGGGTGGGTCAGTGCAAGAAGGACACCTGCCAGTGCTTCTCCTAGAACAAAAGTACCAGCAGGACAGTAAAACAAAAAACAATCTTTTTTTTCATCAGTTTTAAAATGTATTAAACCGAGAAACAATTCTTTTTTTTTTTTAACGCCAGACATGTGTAAGCAAATGCATTCAATGCTTTCCAAAAATGTGCAAATATATATTTAACCGATTCAAATGAGAGTTCATTAATGTGTGCTTATTAAGTATCCAACAGAGTTACCAAACGAAAGGTAAAAATATTAAATATCAAAAATAAAACACTTTGAAAAGGCTTTATTAACAAGTGAAATTAATTTATTAAAATAAAAACGAAAATATTCTTTACAAGTAGGTAATATTATCCAAAGTTTGTAGGCTTACAAACACAATTGTTTTTTTTGCGTTTCTGTGTCACAAAAAATAAAGTTGTCAATTTAAATTCCAAAACTTTAGAAATAGAGTTGTGTAAATCTTATAAAAAAATATAAAAATATAAATACAAAAAAAAATATTTAAATTCTTTTTATTATAACTTATAGCATTATAACTTTACTTATGGTAGATCATTAATTTTAAAAATATAATCATTATAGTAAGTAATGGCATCAGAAGTGTTGTATTGAATCTAGAGACTAACTTTGCTATCATTTTAGTAAAAAGATCTCCTACATTAATTTTTGGTAAAAAAGGAAGTACACATTTCCGCGAATACTCAACTTTTTGATGAGGGCAAGCAGATAGCATGAATATTTATGGATGCAATCGTTCGCTGTTCCGGGAACTTTGTGCAACTTTTGGGTAAATCGCTCCCCCAACCCCTCCCTTAAAATATAACTTTTGACTAATTATCAAATAGGTCCGCATAATATTATTAATTTCGGATAGCCGAAATCGCATAAAGTGTCCTTCTACGAACTGCGAAAACAATTTCCAATTAAATTCGAATTTCAACTTGAGGTCAAGGAGTCAACGATTTTAATGAATGTCATTTGAGGCACAAGCCGCGCCAATTATTTCCATTACTTGACATTTACGCAGTGGAATGTGGCTTTTAAAGGAGGTGAAGAGGTCGCCGAGGCTCACATTATTAGCCAACTTTGATTGATGGCATTGTTCTGGGCCAACACGATAATTTTCCACCCAACCCCCCCTCCCCTTCTCCCATCGTGGATTGAAGTGAGGGGATTCAGTTAGATGTGACAAGGAAAATGGGTAAATACGAAATAGATTTCGCATCCGTGTTCGTTCTGGCATTTCTATTTGGAGCCCCAGCCTACAGCATCGCACACATGTTGTAAACTGATTTTAGCTCAATATAACGTGACGTCTCTTTGATAAGGGTTCTATTTTTTTCACTTTTTTTCTTCCGTTTTTTTCTGGCCGAAGGCTGTCAAATGATAAGCAACAGACAAGGCCAATAAAAGGGATAAAGGCGGAGATGCCGAATTGTTATTATTACAACACTTAGCCAGGTTTCGGGGATTAGGAACCAAGTGATTGGGGGAGTTGAAGGAGGCGAAGGACACGCACGGCTGCCTTTCCAATTAAAAATTCAAAAGGCCTTTTTCCAGCCACTCGCCAAATTGGTGAATTACGTGCCAAACAAGAAGACAGAAGGTTCCTGGCCCCGAAAACGAGGAGTATGATTTATTTATCGATTCACATTTATATGCACATGCATTGGCCAAAGTTATATCTCACCGATATCGGGCGTGATATGGCCAATACTCGAAAAGGTTTTGCGAAATGTTGAGATTACCATTTGCAAATAATAATAAAACATTTCAATGGGATGGCTTATGATGTGCTCTCATTGGATTGCACTTTTTGCAATGTATTATTTTACATTTTATTGGAGGTACAAATGCTGAGAAATTTATTTATTAGGGTTCAGAAATTATATAGATATTGCCAATACTGGAAAAAGCTTTCAACAAAATCTTACACATAAAAATAAAACATTTATGCTTTGATTGGATTGCATTTCTTTCTAAAGTGAAATAAATAATAACATTTTAAAGGAGGAGCTGTATTTTAAACTGGGCAAATTAATATTCCGCATTCCCTGAGGCAGCATATAAATATACTTCTTATATTAGTTCAAATATGTACTGCCACCAGCATTTTAGGCTGTTGTTTGCCTAACAAACTGAAATTGTAAGCCCCATTTAAGCAATCTTCTGTGGGAAGCCTTAAATAATTTGCACAAATGGTTGGAAAATTATTTCCACCTCGAGAGCGTTATGTTCATTGAAGTCTGATTAGATGCAGGGCCTTATTAGTTAGATTGCTAATCGTTTTGATGGAGAGGGGAATATTTTCCCAGGGGGAGGAACTCTTTAACTGGCGCCGGGGGACACAGAGTCCTGACTTCCGAATCCAGAATCCAGAATCCCAAATCCAGGATGCAGGTAAGCGGTACTCCATCTAGATATTCCACTCAGCTTCCATATAACGAAAAATATACCTACATATTTTCGTGTATATCTTTATAATAATTTGTTTGCCGGCAAAACTCTCCCCGGGGCGCATTTAACTAAAACACAGCCAAGGACATTGAAGAGGGGGGTTGCAAATGGGAGGAGGGGGAGGGGGAAAGGGGAGGGGAAAGCAGGGAACGAAGGAGGCGAGGTGGCAAAGTATCCTGGCCAAACTGAATGCTCGTGGCAATTATAAATTGTTGAAAATAATTTCATTAAATATGTAAAAAGGCGACGGCGAATCGAGAGAGGAGCGTATTAAAGGACGGCAGGAGGATCCTTTTTGTGTCCGAACGAGAGTCCTTTATGTGTGTGTATAAGTGTATAAGTATAAGTGTGTATATGTGTAAGTGTGTGTGTGTGTGTTTCGAACTACGTGCCAGCTATTAACTTTGCACCCGCTTTGCACCCAGGAGCTTCAGAGCTTCCGAGCTCCAGGAGTCCACAGGACTCTGCAGGACTCCCGCTTCTCACTCTCTCCACCCGAAATTCGCCACTCGAACTTTGACTTCCTGTGGCCTCGACGAAAAAAAAACGTTCTCCACTTACAGTGCACATTGTGACTAAGATGCGATGTTCCATCGCCGAGAGCACTAAGTAACTTATTAGCCTTGGGGGCCCAAAAAGTCGGCTTTTTGGGGCCGGCATTCCATTTGCTTGCAAATTTAATGATTTCGCCAACTGAATTTCCATTCTCGCCCTGCAATTGTTCATTCGGCGAAAGTCAGGTGGTAGATGGCTCTGCAAAATGGAATGGGCGATGCCATTAGGTGCAGGAAATTAAGTTGGCAACTTGGCCAACACTTTGCTGGACATCGAGACATCGACACACATACACAGAACGGAATTGAGTGGCCAAAAGTCCTGCCAACATGGCAGGTATGTACTTTGAAAAAGCCTTTCAGAATTTTCGATTTTCCTTCTTCTTTTTTTTTTGTGGCCATAAATACACATCTCTGTTGTTTCGATGTCAAAGAAACATGTGCCTTGAATAACTGAAATGTAATCGATTTGTTATTTCTCCATTATGCTTGTACAAATTTGCAAATGGTTTGAAAACTTTTTCATGCATTTGTTTGTGTGTGTGTATGTTTTTTTAAGGGGGGGATGGGGTAAATTAATTTTTTATGAAAAATTCTAGGTCACTTAAGTACTTGCCACCGGGACTTCCTTTTGCCACTTAGCCGGCTCGACGCACTCAGTGCTACTTCCTTTCAACCGGAGCAAGCAAACAGTTGCTCATTTATTTAATGCTTTTCCCCTTTTCATTTTTCTTTTTTTTTTTTGTTTTTTGTTCGCTGTCGCTTGAAACTCATTACTCATACCACACGTGGGCCACGGAGAAAAACAGCGCGAAAGTCACAAATTTGATTCACATGCGCTCCATTGGCTCGAAGGCACAGGATCTCTCGCCGAAGAATGCGGAAGCACTCGGCTCATTTTAATAATATAAAATGAAAGTAATGAGCGCTGCCAAATGAAATCGCGGTCAATTAAGCGAAAATCCGCTTAAGAAGCCCATATTAAAACGTATTTGTAACATTGCGAAGGGATTTAAATATTTTAAAAGCTGTTGAGGAATTGTTACCGCAAGGGGATTACATTCTTTATGAAATTCAAACAATATTAAAAATAGCAAAGGTTAAATGTGATTGGTTTGTTTAAATCAGGGTTTAATTGTGAATAATTGACACTTAAAAAAATATATATTTTATAGAGCAGATTAATTAATATACATTTTTTGTATTTTACTAATATTTGATTATCATATAAAATGGTCATTCAAAAAAAGCTTATTATATTTTTGACTTATTTTAATAGGGTATTTATTGTAATATTATTATAATATTATATATTATATTTTCTTCTTTTTAACGTGTTCATTTCTTCTGTTTATGAAAGTTATATCAAACATCAAATACAATGAAACACCTTTTGCATGGTGTGTTAATAAAGTCATTAGCGGAAATAATTGCACCCAAGCTATTTTAATGGAGTTTAAAGCGAAGTTAAATGCCCATAATTCCTGCGTGGGCGATTGGCGGGTGTATCTTCCTCTTCCTGTCGAACAACAAGCGACGGTAACAATTTGACGGTAATTTAGTTGGCAAGTGCAGTTGAAATACCGCATTTCGATCGAGAGCAACAAACAGAAAACCAAAAATCCAAATCAAATGTGAAGCAGAAGCAAAAGCAAAAAAACAGTGGCAAAGGAAACGAAATTGGGCGATGAAAGATACAAATACAGATACAGATACAGAGATACAAATACAGATGGCAGAGCACACATATAAATATATAAAAATATGAAAAATGTGCAAATTAGCTTGAATTCGTTCACGCACGAATGAAACGAGCAGGGCAGCCACTTGGTATTGGGGAAATGATATAATTGCTGGGGCAGGAAACTTAACTGACTGAGTGAGTGACTTAACTCAACTCGACTCGCAAAAAAAAAAAAAAAAATGAGAGAAAAAAGAAATAAAAATCAGAAGGGGAGCCGAGTGAAATGCAAAGTTGCCGCGCATGCTGCGATTGCCCCAAAGTGTTGCACACTTGACTGCCTCGAATGATGGGAAATGTGGAAAGTCTAGAGTCGAAGGGATGGGCTTTGGCTCCACGGTTGGCTTGCACGGTTTGCCACAGCACTGCTGCTGTGCCCAATTGCCAACGGCACTTTTCCACCCAACCCACTTATCCAGCCCCATTTCCCACCCCAACCCACTTCGGTTGACTTTTCCGACTCCTTTCTTTGTGGGCGTCAATTACAACCAGGCTCAAAACTTAACTCATCTCACTATTCCCTTTAATTTCCTGCCTGCTCACCTTTTTGTTGCCATCGCCATGTAATGAGTGCTCCAATTTTTAGTGGAACACTCTTGTGTTAAATCAAAAAAAATGTATACATAATGATTAGTTTAATCATAGATTTTTTCATCTGAAAGCCAATACAATTATTCAGTATATGTGAGCCTTTTTAAACCAATTAGAAATCACATCAAAATATATCTGAAAAACAGTTCAGTAAGAG